GTAACTCTTTATGAGAGTAGAAGGCCTCGTCTTTCTCCCAAGGAGCGGCTGGTGGTTGCGAACTGTTGACCCCCCTGTGCCCCCAACCTTGGAAGCAGCAGAAGTGAAGGAAAGAGCCCAGCACCAATGGAGGACCCCGTTCCAGAGCAATGTGTGAAGCGGAGGAGGCCAAGACCAGAGACACCAAGATGGTGGCCAGGGGACTATGGGACAGAGCCAGAGAAGCCCTGCTGAGACGACAGGGCTGTGGGCCAGGGTGACCGGAGGGCTTCCTGGTCTAGGAAGGAGAAGCCCTGGGTGACGTCTGAAAGGCTGGAGACCGGAGAGAGATGTGGTGCTGGCAGAGGAGAGGTGTGGCTATGGACCATTGGCTGAATCTTTTCTGGTTACGAATCCAGACTTGTGGTCGCCGGTTAACTTCCCCACCATCCCCTGACTGTGAGCACTGTCTGGGAGTGCTGTGGGACCACGGCAGGGAATGACGGTGTCCCCAGCAGAGAAGTGAAATGCTGGGAAGGAAGGGCTGGTGTCGGAACAAGGTAAAGGAATGGGGTGTGCAGGAGGCCTGCCTAACCCCTGCCACACACACACACACACACACACACACACACACACACACACACACACACCATTTATTACAGCATGCAAACAATAGGAATTCCAGAACCTTTCCTGTGCTCGCGTGAAACCTGCATGTAGACCGAGAAGCAGTCACTTGGACCGAACAAGGGAGTACTGCGTGGCTGAAATTCAGAAAAGTATGAATCAGGGTTGTGCCCTTTCGGTCTGTACTCTGAACAAATAATCCGAGCAGCTGGAACATCCAATGCGAAAGATGGCAGGAACACGCGAGACCTGCGATGTGCACGGGGCAGAGCCTTGCTTGCTGAGAGGGCAGAGGCCCTGAAGGGCTTCCTGAAGAAGGTCAAAGACTGCAGCCTGCAGTCGGCCTGGCATCTGACACAAAGAAAAACGACGCCCCTCAAGAGTTGCCCAGTCAGCACCGTCCTGATAGCAAAGGAATGAATGAGACGTTGAAGTGAAAGTCTTACATCCTTAGCCTCTTCTTTGCTTGGAACCACAATCGATGGCCTTGGAAACAGCAGTCAAGCTGCCAAAGGATGTATTGCCCGGGGCAGATCTGCATCAAAGACCTCTTTCGTGTGCACAGAGTCTGTTTTGAGGACTTGGGTGCACCAGAGCCAAGTGACGGCATTTGGGGGTTTTGTTGCCCCATGGGTACCTCAAAGTTGGACAGCGAGTAAGGGAGACTGAAGAATGTATGCCTCTGAGTTACGGTGCCGGGGAGCACTTGATTACACACGGAGAAGGGAGTGTGGCAAGACTGCGTCTTGTTGTCGATAGATGCCATGGAGTCAGCTCTGACCCACGGCGACCCCATGCACGGCAGAATGAAACACCGCCCGGTCCTGCGCCGTCCTCACATGGGCCCTGTGCCCGAGCCCGTTGTTGCAGCCACAGTGTCCGTCCATCTCCTGGAGGGCTTCCTCCTCTTGCTTCGGTACTTTTATTACTAGGAGAGACCAGTCCCTGGAGAAGGACATCACGCTTGGTACAGCAGAGGGTCAGAGAGAAGAAGAAAGGGCCTCAATGAGACGGGGACTGACACGTGGCTGTGACCCTGGACTCAAGCAAGCCACAGCGGGGAGGGCAGTGTGGGGCCAGGCCGTGCTGCGTTCTGCCGCACAAGGGCCGCAGTGAGTCAGCCTCGGCTCACCAGCACCTCACAGCAACCGTGCGAAGACCAGCACTTAGCTCGGAAGTGGACATGCTTAGCTGCTTTAATTATTTTTAGAAAATGGTTACTACATTCTCCCAGTCCCTGACTACCAAATCATAATTTCCTGCTGTGCTATTAAAAAGAAAGAAAAAGACCAAACCCAGTCTCTTCCTAACTATCTTTTATGGAAATATTTACCCGGCACATTGGCCAAAGCCCTAGGAATTAAAAGATGAAACAGATCTGGAGTTTGCACAATGCAAATTCTTTTCTGGTAATTCTTAATAAAAATCAGATGGTCCACGGAAAGGGGCCAAGTTGTTCAGCACGGCCAAGGTCTAGCTATTTCAGGTCAGCTTGCAAAGCTGACTCCCAAGGCAGACAACCCCAGAGGGTGTGCAGCCTCATTCCCCGACCCCCATCCTCTTGCTGTTGCAACCACTTAGCCTTATGGTTGGGGAATTAGCACCCAATTAGCATAATCTTTGGATAAGAAGTATTAAGAGTCTCGGGCAGAATAAGATAGAATCTCACGTCAACAGTCTTGAAATTGCTAACCGACCATGGACTTGGCCTGCTATAGTGGCATCTTTTTTATCTTCCTTTTCTTCTTTTTCTATAGAGGATATCTTTTGAGAAAAAAATCTGAAATGGAGTTTAAGTTTCTTTTACAGGACTGAATGGAAAGGGCTTACCGACTTGGAGTTTTTACAGCCCGTGGGTTAGAATCAATTGCATTATGACTAAGCCTGCTCCTTACAAGAACGTTGGGAAAAAAGAAAATGCTGCTTAGCCTGGGAACTGGAAATTCCATTGCAAACCTTAGAATGTGCACAGAAAATAACACACATTGGTGGGGAGGTATGCATAGAGAGGTACAATAAAGTCAACTGATCGTAGGCACAGAATAATTCTTTAACCATTGAGATGGTAACAAGAAACAAGCTATTTAAATGCCACCACTTCTATTTCGCTAACATGCTTTTGTCCTCTGGTGGGGTAGTGGTTATGCATTGGGCTGTGATCCTCAAGGTCTGAAATTCAAACCCCCCAGTTATTATTCCTTGGGAGAAAGACAAGCCTCTCTACAGCTATAAAGAGCTTGTGGTAGTTACTTAATCTGGTGTCAACTGGTGGAGGGGTGGAGTCTAGCCTGTCACTCAGGTTGCAGCTTATGACCTCATTTGGAGGCACTAAGGAGAAATAGTTCACTGGAGGTGGGACACACAGCTGCTCCCAGCAAGACATTACTAACTATGAGCCTGATGGAGCCGGAACTTGGAGCTGGAGGAGCCACGTGGAGAGCACTGCCCGTGCCGAGATGCTTCCACAGCCACTGGATCCACAAGACTTTCCACCCACTGGCCAGTGATCGTCCTGCATTTGGCATCATTACATGTGTTGCATGAGTCTAAAGAGGAATTTATAGTTGGTATCGGATATATGGGCTAATATTCGATTTATGGACTTGATCTGGACTGGGCTGGGATGTTTTCTCCATATTCAATTGATCTTGTATATAAAACTCTTTCTTACACACATATGAGTCTCCCTGGATTTGTTTCTCTGGTCTACCCAGAGTAACAGAGAGCTACAGTCTTGGAAACCCTCAACAGGGCAGTTCCACCCTGTCCTAAGGGTCACCGTGCAATGAAAGTGAGTTTAGAGAGTGAGTTTATCGACCACGTTAATATTTATTAAATTGGTTACGCCCTGATGCTCCTAGGTGCCAGTAGGAGTTGGAACCAATTCAACAGCACCTAACAACACAACATCCACACCTCCCTTGGAATCACCCAGCACTCAAGACCCAAGGGGCAGGCACAGGAAAGCCAGATGAAGGACGCACAGGGGGAAGTAGGCTGTGCCTTGGTGGGGTTGGCAGTCAAGGTCACAAAACAAAGTCTATCAACTGTGGAAAAGGGAAAGCAAGTTTGCTTGGCAAACATTCACCTAAACCACAGTCAAAGGCCAGACAAGTAAATGTGGAAACAGCCCGGGGTCCAGCCATCCCTTACCTTTCACTGTTCTTTTTGCCGCTGGAAGAACTGCTGGTGGAGCCCGTCCGGTTCCGGTTTCCTTTGGAGTCTCCGTAGCTCTCCCTTCGACCACCGGGGGAGACTCTCTCCGAAGAGCTGGTCCTTTTGATGGTACTACGGATGGGATGTAAAGGACAACGAAACCCTTAAATTTCATGGTTTTATTTTATAGTTAACTGCAATGACAGAGGCTGGCTCTCAAATCTCAACTCTAGAGACCAGACCCTTTATCTGGACGCGACTTGGCAGTCAGGGCCTCTGGTGGCTGCTGTTATATCCGTGGCAACTAGAAAAGCTCACAGCTGTGGAGGAGCCTGATCGTGAGGTCCTTACCACACCATGTGAGAAGAATAATGGTGCTTCAGGAATACTGAAAGTGCCAGGGACTGCCAAGAGAACAAAGTGCAGCCAGAAGGCTCCTTAGAAGCAAGGACGAGGAGACGCCATCTCAGGTCCTTTGAGCACGTCCTCAGGAGAGACCAGGCCCTAGAGAAGGGTACCGCACTTGGTAAAGAAGAGGGGCAGTAGAAACAGAGGAAGAGCAGATGGACTGACACCGTGGCGGCAATGATGGGCTTGAACATAACAACAGGTGTGAGGCTGGCACTGGGCCGGGCGGTGTTACATTCTGTTGAGCACAGGGTGGGTGGCTTTGAGTCAGAACCAACTGCAGGGCACCTAACGACGACAACATGTGTGAGCATCGGGGCCACAGGAAGCCTTCCCTGCCCTTGACAAAGCTTCCGTTGAGAGCAGTGGTTCTCAGCCAGTGGCCATTTCGTCCTGGGGGACATTGGACAATGTCTAGTGGCAGGTTGGGTTGTCATTCTGGGAGACGTTCCCCAAGAACTCATCGCCAGTGAGTTGATGCCAACTCACAGTGACCCTGCAGAGCAGAGTAGAACTGTTCCTGTGAGTTTCTGAGACTGTCACTCTTTGCAGGAGTGGAAAGCCCCATCTTTCTCCCACGGAGCAGATGGGGGTTTCGAACTGCAGACCTTGATGTTAGCAGTCAAACTGGTAACCACTATGCCACCAGAGCGGTTAGGTTAAGGAGTCCAACTCCTAGTGACTCCATGTGCCACACAGCCCAACTCTGCCTGGGTAAGGGGCAGCTTCAACCCAGCTGCTGTCCCTCCCATACATCTCAGTGCAGGGCTTCTTCTCTGGCGACAACCCAGCAAGCATGAGGTCCTTCTCCAGGGACTGGGGAGAGGCCAGGGGTATTGCTGCAACACGCCCCAGTGCCTAGCACAGCCCCCACCACAAAGAATTATCCAACCTACAATGTTAGCATCCATGCTGAGATGGAAGAGCCTTGGTCTAAAGCAATGGTTCTCAACCTGTGGGTCGCGACCCCTGGGGGGGGTGTCAAACGACCATTTCACAGGGGCCGCCCAATTAATAATAGTAGCAAAATGACAGTTATGAAGTAGCAATGAAAATAAATTTATGGTTGGGGGTCACCACAAGAACTGTATGAAAGGGCCGTGGCATTGAGACGGTTGAGAACCACTGGTCCAAAGGCTCATCACGTAGAAGCAGCACAATTAGAAGGCGACATGCGATGGCAGATACGCCGCCATATGTAAAGTGCCTTCCGTCTGTGGCCCCGTCCACGTGGGGCTTAACTTGCTCCTGTCCAACAGGAGAGAGGAGGGGAGAGGGCTGGAAGGCCCTGGGGGACGCTTCCTGTGGACTGTGTTTCTGCACAGAGCAAAGGAAAGGCTGGAGTGTGCAGCCATGACGCAGCAGGGAAGCGCCTGCTGGGCAGAGGGCGAGCCACAGGCATGCGTCTGAATCCGAGGCGGGGAAGGCGTGCAGGGTCAAGGCATCTTTTTACAGTATGTAACTGCCGTGTAGCTTATCCCAGGACACTTATACATTGGATCTTCGCCATGAGGGCATGCATTGAGAGGTCCTATCTCATTTATCATCTTTGCAAAGAAGCTGTGGGGTGTTGATTGAACGAACGAATGAATAGATGGGTGGAAGTATCACAAGAAAGGACAAGGGTTGCTTTCACTTGGAGGGGTGGGTAGGCAGTGGCCGCCCCAGGCTGGGCCTCTGGGAGAGGGACAGAGCAGGGACAGAGCAGGGACACATGGAGGTGGGCTGAGCAGGCAGGGCATGCAGTGGGTGGGGGTGGATATAAGTCCGCGACTTGGGAGCCAGCCTGGGCCAAGAACTATCCACCTGGTGGTCACTGAAAGGGAGGGGAGAAGATGACCCTGGAGCACTCATTTATAAAGACAAGTGTAATGGGGAAACGGCCCCAGGAGGCCGAGGGAGCAGAGGCACCAGGAGCGAGAGAGAGGAGGGGGATGAGGAAGCAGGCTTGGCAGCTCGGAAGTGTCTTCCGTGAGGGGGAGCTCACATCCAGTCAGGAGTGAAGGGGAGCTGAGGGTCCACAGCAGCAAGGCGGAATGTCCCCATGCCCATCTCTAAGCCGGGACAAGCCCCCTTCTCCTCAGGAGGATGAGGAAGTCTCACCCAGGGACTCCAGTCTCTGTATGCTGCTCTGCCTCAGTAATCGCCCACCCTCTTGCCCCAATGCTGGTCTGGTCTTTCTGTCGCCCAGATGCCAGGCTGTATTCCCTGCCTCTCTAAGTATCCATTCAAAAATGGCAGGGCGGGTTGGCTCTTGAAAAACCACCTCTGCTCACCGCTACAGGGGCAGTGTGAGGCGCAAACACCCAGCGAGTGACCGTCGTCGGAACAACAGCGATTTCTGTTGTCCCATGCACATCTGTCGTCTGTGCCGCACTGAGGACACGCTGGGCTTACACCAGAACTTTACCACTGCCACCCCACAGGTCGCTTCGAGGTCAGAATGTGAATATTTAGAATGCTCAATTTGGGGGTCAGGAAATTACAGATCTTAAGAGAGTATTGCATTTCTGAAAGTTGGGACATCCAGCCCAGAAGGCAGGGGTTTTGTTTGGGGTTTGGAGGCACAGGGGTTCCTCATTGGACTGCTTACCACAAGGTCGGCAGTTCTAAACCACCAGTCACTCCTCAGGTTTACCGTCTCAGAAACCCAGTCGGGCAGTTCTATTCTGTCCAACAGGGTCCTCTGAGTCGGAGTCGTTTTGTTGTTGTTGCTTGGGGTGGGCAGTTAACGTATGTATGCAGACTGTTAGCGCGAGTTCAGACTTCACAAACAGGAGGCAGAGAGTAGGACTGCCGTGTTAGGGGGAGGGGGACGACCCGAGAGAGGGCTAGGTTACACACACACATCAGAGGGCCCTCACCTGGGTGCTGGCCTGGGCGATTTGCATGCATTGAGAAGGCTCACAGACCGGTTTAATCTACACGCCAGAGACAAGCAAGCGAAGCCGAAGAAAAAACAAAGCAGAAAACAACCGTGAGTGCAGTAATAAAGGCGTAGGGAAATATTGTGATAAGCGTCAACAGACACACACCACCCAGCAGCAGGGAAAGGCGCTTTGGTTTGCATATATGTAAACGTGGAAACATTCCATCAGCACCCTTCATGACATCTGCCACTCGCGATCGCATGGAAACGTTAAGGTTAAAAAAAAAAAATTACCCTAGTTGCTCTAAGAAGCCCTACTGGTGTAATGGGTTAAGTGCCGGGGTGCAACTCGTAAACCTGGATCCAGCAGCCGCACTACGGAGAGAGACGGGAGGCCTGCCGGTGCCAGAAAGAGTTACAGCCTCAGAAACCCAGGAGGCAGGGCTGCTTTGTCCTACAGGGCGACTTGATAGCAGTGTTCTGCTTTGTTTTTTATTGTCGTCTACACGGGGGTTGGGGGCCAGGCATGTTCCTTTCCAGGGTGGAGAGCTCTTAGGGATGAAAGAGGATTTGCCGGGACTCCACTTGAGGCACAGAAGATCAGGCCGAGGGATAAGAAATTCACGTGAGGAGAACAATACTGGTGGGAGGCCGGCTCACCAAAATGTCAGGGAATATTCTACATGGCTGTGCCTGCAGGGGCGTCGGCGCAGCAGGGCTCTGCGTTTTGAAAGTGGTGGAAGGAGTGGCTGGGGGGACACTGAGAGGCCCTGTGGGCGGTTCTACGCCACCAGCCACACTGCCCTCTGCTCTGTGGAAGAGGCACAGCCTCGGAGACCCCGCGTGGGTTTGCTGCCAGTCTGAATCCGCTCTGTGGCCGTGGGGGAGCCCAGTGGAGCCTCTGCGATCACTACATTCCCTACTGCCTCCCTCCTCCTGCTCCCCGCCCTCACTCCCCAACCACAGCGCTTCCCGGCCTGAAAAAGACAGTGGTCGTTGCGTTTCCTGTTTGCAGGTGTGAGGGAGGGCTATGGAGGTGGCACGTGGGTGGCTGCCTTCAGTGGATTCTGGCTCGTGGCGACTTCACACGTCTGCCGCCCCTGCCCCCGGTGACCAGGGGGGCCACTGTCTTGCTTCTGATGGCTGAACAGCGAGCCTACACGTGCCGTAGCGCGGGACGATGCCTGCCTTTCACCGTGGGAGTTGGAATCGAGCTTACTCCTTTTCTGACACTGCCCCTGAAGACCGAAACTTTGGGCAGACAGACGCCTGGGCACAGCTCTCAGGCAGGGTCAGCTGTGTTTTTCCGGGCGATTCTATTGTGACTGACAGGGCCATCAAACGAAGGCTCACTTGACAAACATGGGGCAGGCAGCCGTGACGTCTGGGCACTCGGCCGGGCGTTGGGGAACCCAGGACAGGAAGTGGCACCGCTCTGCTGGAGTGTCCCTGTGACCTAAGAATCCAACGAAGCACTGTCCCATCCTTCACTGCCTAAAAGAATGAGGCCTCTCTTTTTTTTTGGCCAAAGGGAGTCATTTCCGGAAGGCTGGTGGCCTGAGAAAACCCGGGACCAGCCGAGCCCAGAGGGCAGACTCATTACTTTCAGTAAAGGGATGGGCACCAAGCAAGCGGCCTTGCTCTGCTCGGCGGGCAGTACTTCACTGTCTAGTTTGCTAGTGAGCACGGACTCGCCTCATGAGACTTCTGTTTCCATGGATGTGGACAAGAGAGAGCTGTGTTAGAAATAATCTTGAATAAAAACATATTGTCCAGGCCGCCCGCGGGTCCCTGGCCCTGGAATAGAGCTGTGTGCACTAGCCCCAGACGACGGCACAAACGACAGACGCTGTCT